ACCCATCAGTCTTAAATAGAAATCGAGATATTTGTGATTGAAGAAGGTGAGGGTAGCCTGGTGTCAGACACTAAAATGGCTGTCAAACTCGCATGCAGACAGACAGACAGACAGACAGACATGCTTCATGCGACACAAATTCGCTCTCCCCATTCCACACATGATTCTGCCACTCATGTGTTTCTGAAAGTAACTGCCAAAATGAACCTAACGCCTAGCTTTCCCTCAATTCAGACTTAGTAATCAGAAATTGCTTCGTTAGGTCAACGACACCGGATACGGACAAGGGGACACCCTGCAGAGAGGATAAATAATCAATATTACAGTAATAATAGTCTCGCATTTTCCAACGCCTACCCCAGCACTGGTGGTTAATCCATTCACTTCAGGGATTAAGACGGCTACTGACTTGTTTTCTCTTGCGTACTAATTCTTCTCGCCGTTACAGTGACGTAGATCGATGCTGACGTTGCCACCAGTTAATCAAGCGAGAGATTTAGATCTTTTAATCCAATCTCCGAGGCGTTCTCTAAACGATTAGGCGACAAGAAGTGGGGCGAAATCTAATCAAGTATCGAAAATAAAGGAGTTGCAGTGAATGGTTGGCTGTTGTTCTTGTGTGATTTATTGCTCCTTCTTTCCTGTCAGACACCTATCGTCCTTATCCCACCTCCCTTTCTTTGTGTATTAATCTCCTCTAGCAACACGTCTATCCATTTGCCTTGATTATGAGGGGGAAAAAAGTACCTGTTATCTTGAAAAGAATTTGAGATATTTACGATTGAAGAATTGTGTGCGTGAGTGGGTGGGGATGGGAGGTCGCCTAGTGACAGAAGTAAAATTAGCGAGAAAATGGACTCCTAAGTTTGGTGATCTTCAATGCTTTTGTGTCCTCTGGAGAACTGCAAATACTGAATATCAACTTTTCGTAGTAAAATTCACTCAGAAATGTGTTTTTAAATGTAAGCCTGTATAAAAAGTGTTGAGCCCAAAATATAAGATTCGATACCAAATGCCCAATGAGCGGGAAAATGTTGGGGTTTTTGGTTCTTTTTTTTGAAAATTCATTGTTTTGACGAGCGCATGATTCCACCAGGCTTGTCCAGTACCTTAATCGTTTGGTTCCAGATTCTTTTGATGAGAAAAGTGATCTCAGCGGTAGGAGAGAGAGAGAGAGAGAGAGAGAGAGAGAGAGAGAGAGAGAGAGAGAGAGACAGAGAGACAGAGACAGAGACAGAGACTGGTACAGATAATAATGTTATGTAATACGTACCGTACAATACTTCAGTATCCCTGCCTCAGAAGCAACAATAAGCCATAACAGGGCAAGATGATTTACAGAAATGTTACTGTCTGTTGTACAATGGTTAGGCGTTTCACTGTCGCATGCAGGGGACAATGAGTTCGATTCCCGTGTGGGTGAAATTTTATCGAGTATCTCAGTCTTTCTGCTGGGACAATGTATCTCTCTTAGCCCAGGTTTGGTAAGTGTTTTACGGCGCTCGCAACTGCATTTGGTCATATGAGCACGCGGGAGGCACTATGGTAGGAAATTTGGAATTTTTTCCCGGGTGGCGGCCGAAGCCTACTCTAATCGATTTTGAACCTCCAAGGGAACTTTAACGTGCACAGCTTGCATGCGGGACCTCCGAGATTTTTCGCCCTTGTCCGAGAAGGCTAGGTGTAGATTTTTCCTACCTGAAGATCAGCGGTGTGGCTGAAAGACAGCAGTAAGAAAGAGCCAAGGAGAAGCAGTAGAAAGGCTGCAGAAAGAGTCAGGAGCCCAGAGGTGGGGGCAGAAAGCGGAGACGAAATCAGACGACAGAACATTGTTAGAGAGCAGGAAAGGAGGTGAGAGGAGACAGTTTTAGGGAACACATTTTTTTCGGTGGCTTCCAGGATTCGAACTTGGACCTTTGAATGAGAAGCGAACACCTTAACCTCTAGGCCACTCGAGTGCCCCGCAGCCCAGCTTGGCTGATATGCAGGATCGGACGCCTGCCTCCGAAAAGAGCTCATTTCCATCGATGGGGGGCGTAAAAGCATATGATACAATGTTAAAAAAAGACACATGGTACCAGCACCAGCACACCAACACAGGCACACATACACATACACACACACAAACACACACACACACACACACACACACACACTCACACACACACACACACACACACACACCCATACATACACACTCACACACACACATATTATGCACACATACACACAAGCTCTACCTCCCTCCTTTCTCTTTTCGTCTCCCTCCCACTTCTCCTCTCTACCTGTCTTGTTCTGCCCCCCTTTCACACTCTATCTATCTATCTATCTATCTATCTATCTATCTATCTATCTATCTATCTATCTATCTATCTATCTATCTATCTATCTATCTATCTATCTAACTAACTATCTGTCTATCTATCTCTATCTATCTATCTATCAAATTCACACCTATATCCTGGTCTCACATACAGCGAGAGAGAGAGAGAGAGAGAGAGAGAGAGAGAGAGAGAGAGAGAGAGAGAGAGAGAGAGAGAGAGAGAGAGAGAGAGAGAGAATTTTACGAATACCGTAATACAGTAATTGCTCCATTGTTCGCCCTATCATACAAGAATACTAAAATGTGTCTATGTTACGGCTTTTATTTGTACACGAACAGTAGAAAAGTTGGTGAAGCTCTTGGGATAATCAACTCTATAAACTATGAATGGGATAACAATTTTATCATCAAAGACAGCATCTTGCAGAAAATGTGGGCGCTTTCTTTATGCGCCACTGGTTAAAAGTAAAACTACAGTCGGACATGACGTTCTAACGGCCACTTGTATAAAACAATCACACGTACAAACTGCCACTTCCCACTTCCTTTCCTTGGATAATCTTTACATCAAAATGACACTGTATAATACGTCCAGCTGTCGAAGTCAACGACCTTTCTACTCGGTGGCTGGCTCAGACATTTCAACTGTACATTGCTATGGCTCTTTTCGTCTATGCAGACGGTCAATTTAGCTTAAGATGGTCTCAAGGTTGTCTTCATCATGCAGCTTCTTTCATGGCTAATTCTTCCTATGTTTGAAGCGCAGATTTTGTTGCAGTGCTTGCATGTCAGTGTCGTAGATCGAAGCTCTGTATTTCCGCTGTTTTCCTTTCGTCGTTGGCGCTTCTGAGCCTGGTTGTTTCTAAGGCTGCTCTCTAGCATTATAGTTCTTTCCTTTATAATTTTCTTCCATGTTTTCCGGTCCTCAGCTATTTCTTCCCAGATGTTAACATCTACTCCAAACTTAGATAAGCTGTTTTTGCAGGAGTCTTTGCACCTCAATTTTGGTCTTCCTCTTTGTCTCTTTCCCTGGGCAAGTTCTCCATAGTTGTTGCAATCTCCTTTGTCCCCTTTGTTTTTGTAGAGTGTGGTGATTTTGGCATCTCTCATGTCATGTGGAATTTCTTCTTTCAGCCAACAAGTCATTAGTAGTTTGTAGAGATATGGGAGGAGGGTCTCTTTGTTCTCTTTCAGCACTTCAGCAGGTATGTTGTCATTTCCTGCTGCTTTTCTGTAAGCGAGTTCGTCGATTGCAGAGGAGAGTTCTTCTGTTGGTGTTGTATCAAGTTCTGACATTTAGGAGAGCTGAGGAATGGCCTCATGTAGCTGTCTATCAACATGTCGCTTCTCTGAGTATAAGTCTGAATAATATTCCACCCATCTTTCCATTTGTTTCTTCTTGTCTGTCAGCTGTTCACCTGTCGCAGACTTTAGAGGTGTCACTTTGTTTGCTGTTGTACTCTCTGTTGGTTTTGTGTTGTGTTCTGTCAGAATCTTACGCTTTTTCTCGAGTAGAGGTGCGAGTATAGATGCACTTGCTTCAACCCAGTCCTCCTTGTAAGGTATTTCTATTCCAAAAGTGATTGACGCAGAATTATAAATTGTTGATCTCATGCTATTCCACATGCTGTCTGGGGATGAGCTATCTAGATGTTGGAGCTCTTCCTTTACATGTTCTTGAAATTTTGCCTTTAACGCTGGGTTTTTGGTATTTCTTATGTTGATCTTAGGTTTCTTTTGTTTTTCAGCTCTTGGGGTTTTCCTTGAGACTATCTTTGCCTTAGCTATGACTAAAAGGTGGTCTGTGTTGCAGTCTGCACTGTAGAAGGATCTTGTTTGCTTTACCATGTTGGCATCTTTCTTTCTGACGATGATGTCTGTCCTTGCCACTGTAGAAGGTGTTAGTGATGAAAAGGTTGTTATTTGTGCAGAATTCTAAGAGTCTCTGACCCTTCTCATTGATTTTTCCCAGCCCAAAAGGTCGAAGACAGGTGGGCCATACTTTGTTTTCAGTACCTACTCTTGCACTGAAGTCGCCCATGAGAAACAGTTGGTCTACTTTTGGGACGTTGTTGATAGCATCCGGAAGTTCCTCGTAAAACTGGTCTTTTTTCTCATTTTCTGTTGTTAGGGTTGGGACGTAGGCGCTGATGAAGTGAACCTTTCCAGTTTTGGTTTCCATATCCATGACACTGATACGTTCGGATATACCTTGGGGGGTGCTGATCCTGTTCTGCAATCTGCTCTGTACTGCAAAGCCCACACAATGGATTCCTCTCTCATCTTCCCAAGACACTTCCAGAAGAATGTGTAGTTTCTTTCCCTAGGGGTACCAGAGTTAGCAAGTCTTATCTCTTGCAGGGCAGTGATGTCTACATTGAGTCGTGTGAGCTCCCCGTCTATGATTGCTGTCTTTCTGATGTCCTCTGTTTTCTCCAGGTTTGTAATGTACATTAATACAATAATATTAAATGCTAGGCCTGTAATATTAACGGTTCAGTTCTTGTCTTCAGAAAATGCAGAACCTGTAGGGCAGTTCAATCTTTTTTTTCTTTTCCAATATACTCCTTAAAACATTTTTTACTCCCTTTCTGAAAAAAACCCAACTATGAACAAAACTATACTTCATGAAGAAACTGCTGCTTTCTTACTATCGCTGAGCACAACGACATGCATTGCGAATAATTAATTATTACATTAAACAATTTTGTTTATTTCAAGTTTTAGATCTATATCGGCTAATTCTTTACTTTCAGAACTGCAAGCAAAGTGTTTCAAAATTTTCAAAATGGCAGCCCCCATGAGAATCTGCCGTCGATATCTCATTCAGTGTTTACACTGTCGCAAGAATTTAAACTTTATATCCTCTAGCAGATACTTTTCAAGTAAGGCCTGTGTCTGAGAGAAGGAGAAATAAATCACCCATCCTGTACTTAAGATTTGAATTCAAGATTTGTGATGGAGTATATCTAGGGGGTGGGGTTGGTAAAGTTTATGAAGGTTACAACAGGCACAAACGACGTTGACTTTGGAATGCATGTTGTCAGTCGTCAATAATACAATAGAATACTCATACATTTAATCTATAGACGCCATAGTCATAATCTTTCTGTAGATCTAGATTCTAGATCTACTACTTCAGACTCTGGGTCCCGTTTGGGGTTACTAGTTTTGACCCCAACGACAATTAGATCTAGATCTAGATCTAGATCTAGATCTAATCTACTTCTGGTTCTGACTAAACTAAACGATTACTCTGGTTCTGACTAAACTAAACGATTACTTTTTGATGCCCGTGCTGATATGAAAAGATAGCCTTCAAACCTAGACTCTAGATCTAATTGCAAAACATCAAATTATGGTCTCCCTGCCCCCCCTCCCCTCCATGTTTTTGATAGGTCAGGGGCCCCACCTGAAACCCCCCCTTGCCTTGTGCCTTAATCAAAACAAGTGAAATTTTACTGCTCCTTTTGTAGGCTAGAGTCTAGTCTGGATCTAGATCTCTAGACTAGATCTAGATCTACTGATAAAACATTGGTAGCCAGTCATTTTGTCATACAGTCATCTCGTCACACCCCAATTATGTGTGACGAAATGACTTCACTTATATATATGTATAGCCCTTATTAAATCTCTCCAAAATTGTTATAATGCTAGCAAGGCCAAGTAGAGCTTTGGGGGATCAGCGCAGCTAAAGCTTTTTAAAAAAAAAGTTATATAAACTATTAATTTTAATGTAAATTAGATCTTCGTCCAAACTGTTCCATAGTTGAACATAATATTGTTTAAATTATACGGCAAAAACAATGTCTGGTAAAGAGTTAATTAAGGCTTTATAATGTTTGAAAGTAAGGATCTAGCTTTTAGCAATCGCAGTACGTACCATATATATATACACACACTTCTATTAACTAATAAATTTTTAACAGAACTAATAATATGGTAATGGTATTGCCAATCACACCTTTCAACTTTCATCTATAATACCTAAAAACTTTGTTGATCTATCTCGATAGATTTCAATTTTGTCAATACATACATTTTATGAACGGTGTAGCTGATCAGATAGGCACAACGACTCGCACTGCCCCCCCCCTCGTCCCTCCACACACAACCCCAACCCTCTCCCAAAAATCGTGATTTGCGGTTGCTTTGACAATTCGCGTTTGATATTGACAGTCTCCATTCAGCCTTGTGGATTTGGGGTGTGACGAGATGACTGTGACATCTTGACTGCACCGGTGTGATGAAATGACCGTTTGACGAAATGACTGGTATTCAAAACATCAATACCGAATATTTAAATCAGTATCTATATATCCAGTACTCTGTGTGGATGATGTCACGTCTAAACAGACGGGACCCAGATTCTTAAGTTGTACCAATCTTTCAATCTTTCCATCGTAAGAAGAGAGAAAATATGACATGTTATTTATTCAGGTGCTAAAGGAATTTCCAATCGTTAATTTTTTTTACTGCTAGGGTTGTTAGGGTAAGATAACATTTGATTATTTAGCAGAGGGTAAGATAACATATATATGATTATTTAGCAGAGGTAATTCAAGTAATTTTATTTGATGGTCATCGTTCATTGCTAACACGCGAAGCTCAAACCCATCCCCTGCCCCTGCTTTAGATTGATCCCTTGATTTTGATTCAATTTAATGATTTTTTAACCCTTGTCGTTTAAAAAAATAAAAACTACCCTTGAAATTATCGGAGTTTAGACATTAATAAAAGAATCTAAACAAATAAGGATTCATTTAATTCATTTTTAATAGATTAATGATCAAGTAGGGATTGGTTGGGATGTGATGTGGGGGTTTTATATGTTTTAAAAATTCATTATTAACTCATTCGTGACCAATATGCCATACTCTCCCTTCCTAATTTTTTTCTCATACGGCAAAGGAGACGATTTGCCTTTTGAAGCATGAGGACCATGATGACGAATTAATCCTAGCTGTCATAGTTTGTCTTCGGCATTGCTTCTATTTAAACATGCACTGCATGGAAAATTTAATTGCAAATTCACATTCAGCAATATTTTTTCCTTTCAAACTAAAGAAATCTTTTCCTTTTAGAGATAGTTGATTATGCAAACGAGGTCTGACTATTAGCCAACTGACTTCTAAATTTAGTACTTTTCTTTGTCCGTGGGAATCCAAAAGTGTGCTTGTTGAAGGATAAACTGAACACGTGTCATGAAGGGGTCAATCTTGCAGGGTGGGTTCTATTATTTGGAATTTTAAAGAGATTCTTGTTTTTGCTACACTGAATCAAGGTTTTGAATTCTGCTTCCAATGCTTAAATTCAGATGAGGCTCTCAAGTCTGAATTTTTGCTTTTATTACTCTATCTCTGTGTCCATCAATAAATAAAAGACGTTTAGAAGCCTCTCCCACCCCTCCACCTCAACTCACCTTCCCACCCCCCAACTTTAGCTTAATATTTCTTATTTATAATTATAATTCAGTGAAATTTAAAATATCTTTGAATATTATTCTTGTATGACGAGGGGACTAAATCTTTGTTGATTTTGTATCGTTTTTATCATTTTTGGAAATTTATGAATTTTTAGATTTTGTTTATTCTCCTTTTTCTCTCCAGCTGACCAGGAACAAGACTCAGCCTCAACTGGGACATCATTTTCTTACAGAACTCATCTGTGTGGAGAGCTGACCAGAAGTCATGTTGGGCAGACGGTCAGGTTATCTGGCTGGCTGCAGTATCATCGCCTCAGTGGAGCTTTCATTGTTTTACGAGACTGGCAAGGACTCATCCAACTTTTAATCCCACAGCACAAGGCAAAGCATCTTTAATACACTCTTATCCTAACTGGTCAATTTTGCTGTTTTGACTTATTTCTTTCTTTATAGTCTATTGAAGTAGATTATCACCACATAGTTTTATTTAATAAAAACAAAACACAAGAAATTGCAAGGATTGTCTAAAGAGAAATATAAAAACTGTTAGTGGCACTCTTACATTGTTTTTCACTTCTCCTGAAATAGAAATCTGACATTTATTCTAATTTACAGTGATTCTTCTCTGTACAATAATATCGTGATTAAATTTTACTATGCCTTTTTTTTTTTATAGTATTCTCAATTATACTGCTGTAAAAGTGACTGATTATAATTTTCTTAACTTAAATCTGCTTGACAGGTTGAAGAGACACAGAACTTTCCTTTAGAGTCAGTTCTGGAAGTCACTGGAGATGTTCAGCTGCGGCCACCAGGTCAAGAAAATGAAGTGAGTTCTTTAAGTTGTTTGATGGAAAACACATGCTTGGCCACTGTTTTGAGTTTCCCAGGACTGACTGAAATTCAGCAATGGAGAATTTGAGAGACTTTTTGTCTCATGTACTACACCAAAACCAGTCCCACTTAACGTAATCGTTTTTGTGGTGTCATCTGATATTTTAACGTTGTGTATCCCTGACTGGGTTTTGAGAAAGCTGGCGAGCCTGGAATGAATAAAGATAGAGTTTTTAAAAAATACATTGTTTCCTTATCATCATAAAGTGCTGGACCTGAAACAGACTTTGGCAATCATGGTTCTCCATTCATCACTCTGCTCGGATGTTCTGAAACTTCCTATATTGTCCCTGTGTGTCCCCTTCACCCATCAGTTCAGGTTTTCCAAATAGGTTTCTCCGGATCTACCCCGGTCTCATTTACTTTCTATTTTTCCAGTGAGAGCAAGTTGCTGAAAGCCTTTATGTTCTTTAGTGCAGTAAATAAATAAGTGTGTTTTGTTAGTTGATCTTGTGTGGAAGAAGTGTCAGAGCAGTTTCTGAAACACAGTTGATTGATGTACTATCCTGTGAGCAGACTATCCAACATTCCCTGAACTATCATGTCTAAAAATTAAATTTTAGATGTGTACATATACCTCTCATGATTCTATGTGGATCGCTATATCTTTTTAAAAATGGTGTAAAGCTTTCTTGTTCACATGAATCTTATCTCATGATAAATTCTCCACAAAATTTGATCAAAATGCATTTGATATAATCTTTTAAAAATTTATAAAATAAGAGAAATTTTATCTGGGCATTAGTTTGCAACAAAATGTGTTCTAATAACTTTTGATATGACCTTCTGAACTCTTCTAATATAACTGAATCTGGACATTGTCACTTGGTTGCTTTGTCATTATTTCTATTTGACATCTTGCTCTCAGTCCATGTCTACTGGTGATGTTGAGGTTGCTGTGAAAGACATTAAAGTGTTGAATCCCTGCAAGACGAATCTGCCATTTGAAGTCAGGACTTTCAACAAGGTGAACACTCACTAGGGTACCACTTTCTGTTTTATAAAAAAATTTATCAGTGATTTTGAAATAGTAGTATGAAATTATCATCTTACTGGAATTCCTCAAGGAACAGTGTCTTTAATTTTAGTTTTGGTAAGCATTTTATGGCACTTGCAAAAAAATTGGTATATAAATGCTGGACATTAGAAGTTGTAGTAGAGGGTAACTTACAAAGAAAAGGAGCAGAGAGAAGATAGGAAAGAAGGAGCAAATCACACCTGAGCACCCACAGATGCAATGTAGGATGCACTTTTTTCTGAGATATGTAAGTCTCTTGAGTTTTTCAATTTGACATTATTGTTGCTGTGTGGTAGCAGTTAATCCAGTTACTTTAAAATAAAAACACAGGTAAAATTGTTCGAGATGGCCACCTATTGTTGAGGAGAAAAGCAGTTGTCTTTGACAGGTGGACATTTTACAGTGTCCTTATACTTATAATGAAAAAAATGCTCAGGGGAGGAAATGGGAAGTGGCTGTTTGTTTGTCAGGTGATTGTACTATAGAGGCGGCTGTTATCAAGACTTGTGTTTCCTGCTGTCTTAGGTGAAGGAGAACCTGCGGATCAAACATCGCTACTTAGAGCTGCGGTTGCCCCACTTGCAGCATGCACTCAGACTGAGGTCACAGTTTGTCATGGCACTGAGAAACTTCCTTGCCCACGAAAATGGTGGGTGGCTACAGGGGTCGCCGAACCAGCAAAGTTCTCTGATAAAATCAAGAACCTCTGGGCCCTCCCCCTTCCCAATCCCCCCCCCCCCCATGATTGTCCATGAAACCCCTCTCAGATTTGCATTAATACCTTTTTTTTCTTGAATTCTGTTTCCATCAATTGTAAATAACATTACCTTGAATGATGTGAAAATACCCCATTTTATTTGCTTTATTTGCAATACTTGCATGACTTATTGGAAATAAAGTGAAAATCCATTTTTTCCCGCATTTATTTGTGTGTATTTGCAAATGCATTTTTTTGCAGTGGCTGATTTTTTATGCAAATCTTAATATTTTAAAGACCTCAACTATTTTCCCCAAACTATGACGTTAAGGCAGGATTTTGAGGAAAACTCCAGTTTTGTCCTGAAGTAGTTAGCAGGTATGCTACAGGGAACGCACAACAGAATGAAAATCGACATTTTAGAACAGTCCCAACTGGAATTTTCTTTAACTACCCACCTCTGGCAAGCTGCTCCTAGTTGCTTGTGGTCGAAACCTCTGTGCCTGTGAGCCGGTGGCAGCAGCTCGAGCACATTCCTTTACGAAAACTTCGACATCAAATTCCTTTTTGGCAATTGCTGGGCAGATGAAGAACTATGGAAATAGGTTTAATTGTTTAAATCTAATGACCAATTTAGTGATGTATATCTCAATTTTAGATTTTGTACCAAAAGATGGCCCCCGTATTAACCCCCTCTCCTCTGAGATGTAGATAATTTTCCAGAATTCTTATTTCATTTATATCATTGCTCATTCTTTTAAAAATAGACTGAAATGCAACATAAGAGTTAAACTGAAACATTTCAATTAAAAGTGTCTGGTTCTTTGATTTTATTGTTTGTTACTTTATTTACTGTAACAAGATGTTTTCATGTACACTTTAAATTAGAGAATTGAAGTTTGAAATCACTGCTTGGTGTTGAAAGAATTTTATTGAAGAGAGAATGATATATTAACAATCATTGTACACTTACATTTATCCCTTTTGTTCATCTCCGCAGAATTTGTGGAAGTTGAGACGCCTACACTTTTCCGCCGCACACCAGGTGTAAGTTTCCGTCCCCTGCTTCTGTGATTCAGGAGTGATGGGACTGAGTGCTTTTTTCTGTTTTGTAGAGTTTGACCCTTGCTTATATCCGCTGGATCGGAAAAGCAAAAGTAAAGTAGTTTAAATTTACTCTTGGCGTTTATGCTCAGGAAAAATCATGGTTATTATCCTAGGAAAGCACTTGGTTACCCACCAGCCCTTTAGAGAACCTGTTCCGCGAAGGCTGAGAAAGTTGTCTGTACATAGCGACCTAGTTTTGCCCCAAATCATCTAAATGCAATAGTAAGATAACACACGAAAGTTCTAATAATATCTCTTTCTCATTTATTCTAAATTCCTCTTTTTTATTTATTTGATCTTATTCACTGGGTTTTTTTTTTTTTACATCTATGATTAGAATTTCTACCAAATATGTTGCTACCACATACAACAGATGCCTGGAATTAAGAAACTGTAATTAAAAAAAAGTTTTAGTTATTGTACATCTGAACTTGGTGAACAATGTGTGTAGATTTTCATCTTGCTTGTGTCTATGTCTTTCACGAACTTTGTTACGTGTGTTTACATTTTTCCCTATTAACACTTTTCTGTGCAGTGTGGAAAACGAGAGTTTTTAATCTTTTGTCGGATTTGCCTTGAATCTTTGTTTGTCATAAGGCTTTTTCATGTTTCAGGGCGCTCGAGAATTTATCGTGCCAACTCACTCCCCCGGGAAATTTTATAGCCTTCCTCAGTCACCCCAACAGGTATGATATCTATCTATAGACAATACTTGATTGCTTTCTCTCCATAACAGTCAGATGTATTATTTTTATCAATTGTGGAAAATGTGCATTCATTTCTGACTTTTATTTCCATCTTCTGTTTTGATCGAAATATGTGAGACCAACTGACAAAGTGGGTTACTTCTTGCAATCTGTGAATTAAGATATCGATGGAAAATCACCACGAGATCAGATTTGAAGGTTCTCAACTGATGTCATTTTCTCCAAGTTTAACAGAAGTTTTATCATTAAAAACACATGAATGAGACAACATATGTACAGATGTTTTAAACTAGCACAAGCACCAAAATGCCAGTGTGGAGAGGCGGACCAAACTGTTCAACACACTCTTCAGCACTGCAAGACACACAGGGCCCTGAGACAGGAAACGTGGCCAACCCCACTGACACTACAAGAGAAGCTATACGGGCCGACAGATGAACTGAGCAGGATAGCCCAATTTATGACAGATACCAGATTTCAAGTGTGATGCGATCGAGAAGAAGAAGAAGAAGATCATTAAAAACAATTTGGAACAGACAATTTTAATGCTTTTCAGATCTGGGATTTGAAAATGAAGAAGAGGAAGTATTCATAGAGATTTGTATTCCAAGTTGGATGTTCTGATGTTGTTTACCTCTTCTGCTTCTTATCAGTTTTACTATTAGTAAATCAACTGCTTAGTGTACAAAACCTCACGGTTAAGTTAAAGATGGTTTCAGTAGGGAACGGGATAGAGGGTGCCCACATCACTCGTGACTTATTGGAGCAGAGGAAGATAGGACTAATGCTAACATTACATAAATGCAATCCCATATCATCACTCACCGCCACCATTTTTTCTAAAATCATCATTTCTCTCAGATCCTTAATTTACACCTGTATTCCTTGAATCTTTATCTGTAACAGTTACACGTTATTCTAAGTATGTTCGTTATACCCTATTGGCCACTATCTTACATTGCAAAGTCAGAATTTCAGTTTATTTTTGTAAGTTTTACAGCAATTGCAACACAAGTAGTTTATATGAGTGCCAGAGATTAAATGTGAAACTAGAGAGTAACGTACAAATATGAACAGGAGAGATAATGAAGATGGATGTTTGATAGGAAAAAGAAATAAACTACACCAGAGCGCCTGCCAACCATCCACTACAAATGTTCATAGTTGTGCAAATAAGTATGACCATAATATGGGTTGTCAGGAGATGCTATGGTGTGTTTTGTTCCTTCTTTCCTATCAAGCATCTATTATCTTAATCTCCCCTCCTTTTTTTCCTGCTTGTTCCTGACTTGTAACAGCTTTAATCTTCTATGATTATGTTTATCTGACCCATGTGTGTTGCAAATGCCATAAAACACATAATAAAACTAAAAACTTTTAGCTTAAAATATCATTTCCCTTTGCAGTTTTGACAAAAGGAAAATCACATTTTAAGGTAAATTTTTAAAGGTTTAGTTAAAGTGTTTTGACATACCCGCACACCTATACGAGCTTACATAGTTGTGAGCACCGCTATACTCTTATCAAACTGAAACTGAACAATTTTGACATATAATTTATGATGTTTTTGGAAGGAAGGGGGAGGGTAGGACATTGCAATGACAACTGTCCCTAGGCTACGACTCTTCTTCAGATGACATCTGTGCTGCTTTTTCATGCAGTTTCCTCTACTTTGTCCTCACAGTTCAAGCAACTGCTCATGGTGGGGGGCGTCGATCGCTACTTTCAGATCGCCCGGTGCTATCGAGACGAGGGCTCAAAACCTGACAGGCAGCCAGAATTCACACAGGTTTGCCTCCCCATACCATTGATAATAATAATAATAATAATATTGATAATAATGATAATAATAATAATAATAATAATAATAATAATAATAATAATAACAACATAATGATAATAATAATATTTATGATATTGATAATAATGATAATGATATTAATAATAGTTCAGCATGCACATAGCAAAATCGGTAGGGTGTGGAAAATCTGTGTTTTATGTACAAATTTTGCTGTATACATGTTTTAGATGCCAGTTTTATTGTAATATAGATAGATAGAGAGATAGATTTGGAGCTGAGTAATTCAGACTGAGCAATTACAGTGCTAGTGTGGTCTGGATAATGTTTGAAAACTTAGAACATCATTAGGTCTGTCTTTTTTTCAAGTGCGTTTGACCTGGCCTATCATTTCTTATATATTTATAATTTTTGACTTAACAGATGTGGGAATTTTTTTTCCAATTTATTTGCTTTTATTTTTTCATTACACTTACAATGTGCATTACGTCTGCCACCACTGCAAAATTCTGAAGCAAATATTGTTTATGATGTGAGATTTTAAAAAAGCAATGCGGTAAGACCCTGTTTACAAGGAAAACATATTTTAGTTACTCATTTTTTTGTGACCATGTCAATGCATGTTGGGCAAGGATGGGACGGGTACGGGTGTGTGTGGGGGGGGGGGGGGGGGGAGACTAAAAAAACCAGTTAAAATATTTAAAACAATTAAAACTTCATATTTCATCGTTATTCAACATTGCAATATGTCAAAAATTATATAAAATTGAAAAAAGATAATGTTGTAGAGTTTAATTAGGTGCATCGATTGATCCTAGTGTGCTTGTGTGTGCCTGCTTGTGTGTGTGTGCATGTGTGAGTGTGTACGTGCGTGCGTGCATGTGTGCGTGTGGTTGTGTGTATGTATGTATGTGTGTGCTTATATGTATGTGTGTATGTTGACAAAAGTCAGTATATTAGTGTTTTAGCGCCTATAAATGGCTGGTTGCACCGTATGAAGCGCATAGAACTTGCTCTTGAGCGGGGATTTGCCCTATACAAATGCTATCTATAATTGTTCGCATAGAACTTGCTCTTGAGCGGGGATTTGCCCTATACAAATGCTATCTATTATTGTTATTATTATTATTATTATTACTATTATTACTATTATTACTATTATTATTATTATTATTTTTATTATTATTATTATTATTATAATTTTTATTGCTTTTAAAAATTATTATTATTATTATTATTATTATAATTATTATTATGTTGATTTATTCCGGTGTGGACAAGGTGGACCTGGAGATGTCGTTTGTCTCCCAAGAAGACGTGGTCTTGCTGGTGGAGAGGCTGCTGGAGCGGAGCTGGCCGGGGGAGAAGGGAGAGGTCAAAGGTCCTTTCCCTCACATGACCTACCACCAGGCCATGACCAAGTACGGCTGTGATAAGCCTGATCTCAGGCTCCCCTGGCAGGTATGTTCATTTTCATTTTATATATTTGACTTTTTGTTTTAAATCTTAAACTGTTAGTTTTAAATCTCTGACTTTTAGTTTTAAATCTCTGACTTTAAGTTTTAAAATCTCTGAAATTTTCGTTTTAAATCTTTGACATTTTCATTTTAAATCTTTGACATTTAATTTTAAATCTCTGACTATTAGTTTTCAATCTTTGACTTTTAGTTTTTAATCTTTGACTTTTAGTTTTAAATCCCTGACCCTGGAATTGATTTCCATATTTTGATGGACTGTTTTGTTTTTTCATAACTCAACTTATCTGAGGCTCTACTATTTTCACATGTGTTTTGATTCAATACAAAGAATGGACATAAATAGACACAAAGACAGAGAACGAACATAAATAAACACAACACACAAAGATAAAGAACGGATATAAATAAACTTAACACACAAAGATAATGAACGGACATAAACACAAACACCAATCACGGACATAAATGAACCAAGACAAACACAAAGAACTGACATAAATAAACTCAAACGCAAAGAATTGACACATAGAAACATAAAGACAAAGAACGGACTTAAATAAATACAAAGACAAAGGAGAGTAGCTTTCCTTAGAGAAGCTGTTCAGGAAATAATTCACGTTCATAGTACGTATATGAGAAATTCAGGTGAGCCTATGTGCAGTACACTTGCTACTTGGAGAGATGTTTGGTCAGTTGGAGAAGAGGCTTTGGTTGCTGGGAGCGCCGCTTGGGTTTAAGAGTTTTATGGCATATGCAACACAATGAGGTCATACAAGTGCTGAAGTTTTAGTGTTAGTAAGAGTTTAATTGCACTTGCAGCACGAATAGGTCACATGAATGCTGAAGGGTTCATTTTAATAAGAGTTTAATGGCACTTGCAACTCAAATAGGTCGTATAAGGTCTGAATTTAAGTTTTAATAAGAGGTCCTGACTGACCTGTCCGGAAGCCCGTCTCCTAAATTATCTAACTTGCGTCAATGGGGGCACAAGAACACCTACATTATTTTATCTTTGCCTCCTCAGGTGGTAGAGGTGACTGATCTTGTTCGTGACAGTTGTCCCCCTGTCTTTCAACCTTATCTAGAGACACCTGGTGCCTCCATACAGGCTCTGAGAGTCAAAGACGGAGTGGTAAGTACAAGAGCATTTTTGTCACGACGAAGTGGAATAAGGTGCTTGTCAAAAGAATGAAGTCGCAGAAAATGACTTTTTTCCTTGGGTGATTTTTATCAAATTTTTTGGGGGCTCAAAACTGTTTATATCCATTAAAAAATGCATTTCTTTTTGGAGTGTACTGAAAAACATTGATCACAGGTACAAAGAATGTAAATTTTTAGTTTCTGAGGACTCAAGCTTTGGAATTCACAAAACTTTGGCAGTCATTATCGCCCTAATTTTTGCCTTTGACACCAGAGGTCCCAGCCGCCTTCAATCCAAGGTTCCTGCGGCCTCCTTGAATCCAAAGAGTCCTTGAAAACTCCTTAAATTTGGATTCAAGGAAAAATCTCTTTGAAAACTTGAATTTGTGGAACTTCCTTGAAAACTCCTTGAATTTTGTCGGATCGGACATGAACAAAATTTTTGTCAGAATATCAAAACTACCATTCTTTTCGAGCAACTTTAGGCCTATCGAAAATAGGCTTTTGGGGTGCAAGTTCGCTCAGCGGCCGGGCATTTCTGTATTATTGTTCTTGACGTGCCATAAAAAAAAGCCATTAATTTCTTGACAAAATCTCCTTGAATTTTTAAAATTTCTTCATGAAACCTCCTTGAAATCTCCTTGAATTTGGTGGTGAGTACATGGCAGGAACCCTGTCAATCAGAAATATCTCTAAATTTTTTCAAGATAGGTGAGTATTTTTTCCATGAAAATCGAGACAAATGAACAGGATCATAATTATCAATAAATGCTTATGCCCCAAAAGTTAATGAGCGCCTGATTCCACTGCATCGGGACTCATTTTGTTCACATCCTCTCTGCTTTTTTGAGGTTTGTACAGGGCAGATGTTTTGTGACCTTTTTTGGTATGTTTGTTGAATATTTCTCTGTTTGTTAGTTTGCTTTAGTTGTTAGTTTGCTTTAGCTCTGTACACTATTTCAGTACTTTCTCTTCTTCTATTATCTATTTTATCTTATATTTTTGGTAACGCTTTTATTCTTAATGGTCACTCTTATAAGGGAGCCAGATTGTTATATGTACTTTTGTATAAATACCCCAAAACCCCCCCCATCTTGAAGGCATCTTTCCACAAGCGTCCATGTCTTTTTTGCTTTGTTTAGTTTTGTTTTGACAAATTAAATAAAAAGAAAGAAGTCAAATCACAACCATGTCTTGGGCTCTCAATTAAAAACTGAGAAGGGAATAACTAAACAGAACAAAGTTCTGTCATAAGATGCCCTACGAAATCTTTATTTGAATAACGACTCTATCGTGGAAACCTCAAAAAACAGATTTAGATGATTGTGGACTGATGCTGTCGATATTGAGGAGTCCAGTTCATGGGAAAAACAGGTATAGTCACAAACTGGGGATTGTGAGGGTGACAATTTTAAAAGCTTGTGGACTTTATGTTTGTTTGATTGGTGGTTTATTGTTATGTTTGTTGAATGGGTAATCTAGCAACAATAATCAACCGACAGTTGAACAGATATACAGTTATGAGTCGACAAGTGTTCAAAATTGATACACTTTTGATTTTCAGTTTGTGACTATTCTCGTTTTTACCCACGGACTCCTCATATGATTTTTGAGATGGACATGGGTGGAATAAAAAATGACATTGACTATTCTGTGCGAATAAAAAAAAAATAAAAAAATTCAGTTATTTGACGTAGTCGTCCTTCTTTGTTTGAAAGAATATGAAATGAAATTTGCATATCTTACACCTTGAGAAGCCTATGGTTAACTCAGTTCAAGTGCAGTGATAAAAGAAAAGATGTTCATAGGACCAATTGGAAAAATGCATGATGCTTCAATTATATGAGCAACAATGTGGCTTTATGCTGAATTATGGTGTTAGTGGTCTAGGGGTCAGGCCCTTAGACGCTCAACATGAAGGTGGAGGTTTTCAGTCCCTTACGTCAGGGGTCCGATGTTGTGTTTGAGGGAAAAGCTCTTCACAGAAATTTCCCTCACTTCTCACAGGAGGGAATGTGTACATGTCTATACATAACAAAGTATCCCGTCAGTTTGATATGTGAGGCAGCGTGATGGAAACAGGCTCTTGTCAAAATAATGAAATCGAAGAAAACAGCAGTTTTCTCCTTACTTAGCAATTTTTGTCAAATTCTTGTTGTTTGGCTCAACACCTTTTATGTCCATCTACAAACACATTCCTTTAGGGATTTCACCAAAAACATTGATTAAAGGCACAGAAATATAAATTTACAGTGTCCATGGACTCTCCAGCTTTGGAATTTACCAACCTTTGGCGGCCATTTTCTCTCTAATTTTACCTCTTAAATCAGGTGACCCCCACCTCCTTCAATCCAAAATATCTCCTTTTCTATTGAAGATGGATGCGTAATTTTTTCATTGAAAGCAAGACAAATGAACAAGCTTTAAGGTGATACCAATAACTCAATATGCCCAAAAATTGACGAGAACCTGATTCCACCACGCTGCCTCATATTGTTTTTAGCGTGTTCAACTCGCAGAATTGCACTGTATACCTCCCGAGAAACTAAGAAGGATTCTGAGTTGTGTACAAGGATTTGCTGTGGGAAAGAATAGTTTGAAAGTGCATAAAGCATGCTATCCAGTATGGATGTGCTATATAGTATGATTATCATCTATTATATATTTGAATTTGGCAACTTGGAAACACGTGTGTCACTTTTCCCATAAAACTACGACAGCTACAGAGTTGAAAGTTGGCAAATACCTGCAAAATGATAGATAGATCCCCATGGCAGAAGCTGTTTTTAAAAAATTTATTCATTTCTCGAATTTAGATAAATATATTTGACAAAAAGTTCCCATCCTTCTTCGGCTTTTGTGATTATTCCACTGAGAAACGAAACAAATCTGCGTAGTTGTCCTTCACAGCGGAAGTGCCGAAAGTGATATTTTGGGAGACACATTTTGTTTTGAGAGTATAGATTTAGACCTTCTAATTTTTTGCATCTCTCAAGGTTTATTGCTCCTATCCAGTAGTGTGTAAATATAGTAGGCCAATGACTTTCAGTTGATGTTAATGCACCGATCATTCCTTTCATCGAAAGGGGGCCCGGCTAGTTATATCATATTCTGCTGTGTTTGTTTTTTTCAGAAACACTTGTCGAACAAACAGCTGGATGCCTTGAAGCAGTCTGTCTTTGAGAAGGTCGGAGACTCTGTGGTAAGTACCAATGTTTGTTAGTGTTTGAGTGCTCAACTGGTTGCTTGCACGGTATGCTTCCCGAGAAGCTGAGCATGTTTCTGTCTATTGTGGGGTATGCTGAGGTAATGATAGTTGTAAAGTGCATAGAACATATGCGCTCTATGGCATGATCCTCGTTGGTTCTTTTCCTTTTGTTGTTATGAAAGAATTTTGAGTTGGTGTGCTCTGATGTGGTTTGCTCTTCATTTCCTATTAAACATTTATTTTCCTTTATTGTCCTTATCTCTTCCACTTCTTTTCTTTGTATGTTATTCTCTAGTAACACCTCTAATCTTTTGCTCTTTTATGACTTATTTGTTTTGCAAGTGTGATAAAACTCATTCTCGTACTAAAACGAAATGGAAGTTTGAATGTACATGTACTCAATAAGAAAACTAAGTGAAATGGATAGTATACAAACAATGCAGTAACGACAAGACTGTTATTTTTTCTTTTTATCTTTATTAGAAATGATCATTGAATGCCTTTGGTATGAAGAGAATAGGAATTCTTAAATGTTGTTAGCGTCCATTTATTTTGATCCTCTACACAAGAGATAACATTACATATTTACCATTGGTCAGAACAGCTCTAGGTCTGGCGAGTCCATAGTGCCGCGGTGTGAGGAAGTCTGTCTGTAACAAGTTACAAGTTTCAAAGTAACGTTTGGTATTTATTTTTCTGTGCTCAAAGTTCTGTCTCACAGTTCAAATGTGGTATTTTCTTTGGAAAGCTTTCCTTGAATTATTGTGGGTCATCTGTCTTTCTGTCTTACATACACGATGATATTATTTTGTGTATCCTAGCTAATATTTTTCTTAAAAGCTTCGTTCCCTTCAAGTTCAGTTTGTGTAATGCCTGTATGAGCTAATACTATTTCTTTTGAGAACATAAAGAGTACTTCAATAAGAAAATTGTTCAGTTGAAACAGAAGGCAAAGAAATAAAACTAAAAGATTAGAAAGAAAATTGAGCATTGTGTGGGTTCTTACGCCCCTATAAACCATGCCATGTTATTTAAAAGGTGAGATACATGGACTAAATCTCCGTCTCAATTGGACTGAATGTAGTGGGAGGAGAGCGCCTTAACAGTTCTCTAAAAACTAAAGTTCTAGAAAAACCTAAAGTTCTAGAATTCCCTTATTTATTCGACTTGTAGTCAGTCATACCATACTTTGGTCCAGCCTGAAATGAACTGTGCTTCTTTGCGCCTATTTTAAGATAAATTGGCAGTAATAATAGAACGTCAGCAGCGTCTTTCCAAATGTCCCATGATGATGATAGTATTGTGTTATTCTATGTGAGAAATCGTGTGAAAAACAAATGTGTGTATCGATACAATGAAGGGGGGGAAACGTCGGTAAGGAACAACAAAGTTCAAGGGTAGCTCTACAAACTCTGTACAAATTAATTGTCTAGCACGATAATATGATATATTGACGTCACCACGTCCGTTATAACCAACCAGAGGTGGTCTCCTGGGCTAGGAAGGGCTGGGAGGCCGCCCTCTGCTGTAGAGAGTCGCGGCTCTGTTGGTCAATGCGCTCGTACTGCCTCTGGGCTCTGTCTCTCGCGTCGTGAGTCGGCCGCGGCGTCCCGTGGGTGGAGCCTCCTGGGATGTGCTGGTAGCTCACCGACCTCTCTCTCCGGCCCTCCATCCTGGTTCCGTCGGCACTCCTCTGTTGGCGATAGTAGCGCCCCCTATCGATCTCCCCCTCTTCCTCTCTGTCAACATCATCGTCGTTGTCGTTTCTGTTCCGGAACCGGACCTCTGCGGGCGCCCTCTCTGCCTGTATGTTGTGGGCGGAGGCTCTTAGGGCGGGCCGCGGGACTCTTTCTCCTTCCCGCCACGCCCCTGGCCCCGCCCCTGCAGGAAGCGTGAAGTAACCTTCGACCTCTCGCCCGCCTTCGGAAGGCCGCCGCCGCCCGCCGTACCCCTGGATCGTCCACCCCCTGGGCCGCTCCCAGACGTCGACCAACTCCGGCGGGAAGGCTTGTGGGGAGGCGATGATGTACGGCCCTGACCTCCGGGGTGACCTTGACCTGTACCAGGGGTCATGGCTGTAGACGTACCGGCGGCTGCTGCTGTACTCCGGTCTGAGGCGCCTCTCTCTCGTGGCGTGCTGCGGGAAGTCGTCCCGGGACCGGGGGCGCTCTCTGTGATCCACGTCTCTCCCCTCCACGCTCACGTACTCTCTGCTTTCTCTGTCGCGGCGGTGCCTCTCTCTGTCTCTCCCTCTCTCCCCGTCTCTCCCTCTCTCCCCGTCTCTTCCCCTCTCCCCATCTCTTCCTCTCTCCCCTTCCTTGACATTTCCGCGCTCGTGTCTGGACTTTCCCGCCGACTTCTCCTCTTCTCCCCTCTTTCTGTCTCTCCTCTCCTCATCCCTCTCCCTGCTCCTCCTCCTTTGATCCGCAGCGTTCCTCTCGTCTTTCCGTAGTTTGTCGTAGTTAAGTTCATCCACGCGTCTTTCTCTATCCTTCTCTTTTCTCTCTAGCATTACCAGATCATCAGCCTCAACATAGACTCTGTTGTCCTCTCTAACTTTGACCGCCAGTTCCTCCAGCTCCCTGTTCTCTGACCGCCGTTTACTCTCCAGCCTGCTCTGATCTCGGTACCTCTTCGTCTCCCCCGGGAACGCCACATACCCGTTCTCTCTCCGCCACAACCTTTGACCTAGATACTCTTGCCTCTCTACAGCGTCTTTGATCTCCTCGGCGATCTCCTCGCTCGTGAGGAATTCTCTGTCCTCCTTGTCCTCGATTTCTTTATCTATCTTTTTCTTCCTCCTCCCCCTCTTCTTCTTCTTCCCTCCCTCCAACATCTCCAGTCGTTTCCTTTCCCTCCTCTTCTTCCTCCAACGTTTACACAAGCGGTAGGCAATCGTGGACCCCACTCCGGCGATGATGAGAAAAGCACCGACTGACCCGAAAATGACCAGGTAGAGCAGCGATTGGTCACACTCCAGCTGGTCAGTGCCCCAGTCACTCACGTGAACGCCGGACCGGCGGGGCGGGGAGTGGCACGCGTACAGACTCGAGTTGTCTGCGTGGAGGTTCACGATTGGCGCGCTCTCGCGTTGGGTCCAGTCTCGGAACGCTAGCAGATCGCACGTGCACGACCAGGGATTTTTGGACAGGTCAAGCTCCGCCAGATTCTCCAGGTCACGGAATGTCTTGGGAAAGATGACCTCTAGAGCGTTGCTGGCCAACGAGAGGGCGCGGAGTTTAGGCAGCGGCAGGAACATGTCGTCGGTGAGGGAAGAAATATTGTTGGAGCCCAGGTCTAGAGTGTCCAGTTTCTCGAGGTGCCGGAAGACGGAGAACCATTGGCTGTCGGTCAGCGAGTTGTGGGACAGGTTGAGATGTGTGAGCGCCGTCATGTACTGCAGCAGGTCCTCGTGAAGGCTGCTCAACTTGTTCTTGGACAGGTCTAAGAACTGCAGGCCCGTCATGCCGTAA